GCCCTGGCTGTTGCAGCCGTTTGGAGAGTGAACCATCAGATGGAAGATCTGTCTCTCCCTCTCTCTGTAACTTTGTCTTTCAAATAAACAAATGGTTTACCAAAAAAAAAAAAAAAAGATATTATCAGATGATATCCAGTGTGTTCAGGATGGTATGGTCATAGACAAAATATGCTAACATAATAACTTATGAAGGAAAAGACGAGAGCTTGAACGTTGATATGTAGAGAAGTAAACAGACCCAAGGGATATGATAGAGATAAAATCAGTGCTATTTAGGCACAGGCTGGATGTGGGATGAGGGATGAGGGATTGGTTAAGAATGACATCTAGGTTTGCAGCTTGTGCTACTTGACAGATAGCACTGCCATTTTAAAGGGAAGGTCTAGAGTTCGGTATTCAAAACGTTTGGTTCGTGATGCCTTGTGGGTGGACAGATGATGATATGTCATTCTGGCAGCTGAATATAGGGTCTGGACTGGAGAAATAAATGAGTCACCCACCGACAGGGAATGCCAGCAGCCTTGGCCATGGAGGAGGTGGTGTAGGAGAGAGGAGAGAGCAGGACAGAGTGTTTCTGGAACCTTCTGCAGATCGACCGTTATTTTAGTATTTTAGTAGCTGAGCAGAAGAGAAAGGGTTTGCAGAGGGATAGGCAAGAGCCCAGGGTGGTATGAGGAAGGCGTGGCAGCCAAGTGGGGAATGCCGTAGGGGAAAAGTTAACCTAGTTCACCTCTGCTGAGGGGAAAGAAACACTTGCTGCCATTGACATGGGAGAGTCTGTGGTGTCTGAGTGAGTCAGCGCGGAGACGGGCAGACAGCAGGTAACAGATCATTCTTTGCAGAGAGGATACTGGCAGAGACCACATGTTGATGGGACGTCTGTTGTTGTTGTGTTGCTATTGGAAATGACTTGTGTGCATTATGGACTCAACAGAAGGAAACAGGAGAGCTGGGGATTGACAACAGGAGAATGAAGGCGTGACAGGCAGTCAGGAATGGCAGAGGGAGGGTAGATTTTTAATATTTATTTATTTTACTTGAAAGTCAGAGTTACACAGAGGGAGGAGAGGAGGCAGAGAGAGAGAAAGAGAGAGGTCTTCCATCCACTGATTCACTCCCCAATTGACCACAATGGCCAGAGCTGTGCCGATCCGAAGCCAGGAGCCAGGAGCTTCCTCCGGGTCTCCCATGTGGGTGCAGGAGCCCAAGGACCTGGGCCATCCTCTACTGCTTTCCCAGGCCACAGCAGAGAGCTGGATCAGAAGTGGAGCAGCCAGGACTCGAACCAGCGCCCATATGGGATGCTGGCGCTTCAGACCTCTTGTTGCTGTGATAGGTACGGCTTCCACGGTCTCACGTGGAATGCCACCATAGTCGTGACATTGCTGTTTCAACCAGAAGGAACAAGGAGCAGGGGAAGATGTGGCAAAGGGTGCACCCCAGCTCTATTTTATGGAGGCTTCCTAGGAGCTGTCACAAGTCATTCTTGCTTTCATCTCACCAGTCAGAACAGAACCGTACAGCCTCACCTAGCAGTAAAGGAGTTTGACACATGTCAGCTTCATTCTAGTCAGCAACATTCCAAATGGAAAACGTGGGGGAAGGGGATCTAACTATCAAGGAAGGGGGAAAGAACAGAGATTGGGGATAACTAGCCATCTTTTCCAAACAGATAAAGAAAAAGGCAAACAAAGGGCAGAAATGCAGCCAGAGACCTGGGGCAGCCGAGGGCAAAGTCACCTCCAGCTGGAGTGGCCTGGAAAAGCTTCATGAAGGAATTCAGCTGTGGTTCTTTGCATGAAAATGACAAAGCACCTTGGAGCCGACAGGGAGTTGTCCCTCCATAATCCACTCTCTCTTCTTCCCATAAAATAGCTTCTGCTGGAGACATAGCTGTCCAGCTAAGGGCTATGCTTCCCAGACTCTCTTGCAGCTATGTGTGGTTATTTTTGATTTCTAGCTAATGAGCTGTGAGCAGAGTGGTGTGTACTGTGGTGGAATGAGGAGGTGAAAAGGTCAGGCCAAGATGGCCGCTGACAACAGAAACTGCCTGGCAACAGGTCGTGATTGGATGGCTTCAGAAACCACATGACAACAGAGCCTGACTGACAAAAGGCTGTGATTGGATGGCTTCAGAAACTGCCTGGCAATGGAGCCTGACTGGCAACAGGCTGTGATTGGATGACTTTGGAAACTGCCTGGCAACAGGCTGTGATTGGTTAGGGCATAGACCGCCCCTTGACCAGACTGGCTGCCTTGGCTATATAAGCAGCTGTACCAACTGAAATAAATGAGTCTGCAGGCTGCTCGCCTCAGGCCTGCTTTCATCCGACTCCTGGTGTCTGTGTGGTGACTCCATGCCTCTTGCCCCCACCACGCTCCTCCTCTCAGAACGAATCCTCTCAGAACTAATCAACTGCAACAGTGTACTATGTCTGAGTCTTGCCCTTTCAAATATTATTTGTGAGGCAGAAATACAGGGAGAGAAAGAGAGATAGAGAGAGCTCTCATCTGGCGGTTCACTCTCCAAAGGCTAGGATGGCCACTGAAGCTGGGAGATGGAACTCAGTCCAGATCTCCACATGTGTGGCAGGGACCCAACCACTTGAGCCATCACCCACTGCCTCCCAGGGTCTGCCTTAGATGGAAACATAAATAAGGAGCAGAGCCAGGACTCAGACCAGGTCCTCCAGCATGGGCCATCCCAACCAGTATCCTAATCCCTTATGGCAGATGCTCACCGCTTGCCCTTTTAAATCTAGACATATGCTTCCGGCATGTGTAGGTGGTACCAGGAGCCAGCTTTGGTCTTGCAAAGAGGACCAAACTCAAGGAGGAGGTGGATGGATGACTGAGAAAACAGAAAAGCCTGGTTCCCTGGGTGTTCCAGTGTGCAGAGCGGCTGGCATCCCTGGATTGCTTGCCCATAGAGAAAAGCTGTGTCTGAACGAATTTGGGCATTTTTGCTACAGCATTAGCGTCAGCTTAGCCTACGCTAAAAATGAACTTACTGCTCAAGCTATTTTAAGGAACAAAAGAGGGGAGATATTATTTGGAGGATACTGGGGGACCCAACTACCAGAGTGCCCCCCTTACCTCCAGGAGACATGTTCCAAGAGCTTCCATAGATCCCTAGAACACGGATAGCACCCAACCCCATCTATACCATGTCTTTTTCCCAAACATGTACACTTAGGATAAAGTTTAATTTATAAATCAAGCACAATGAGGGATTAACAAGAAATGCTATAGGACATTATAACAACATACTGTAATAAGTTATTTCAAACTAATATTTCTGGAAGTTTCCATTTAGTATTCTTGGGTTGTAGTTGACTGTAGGTAATTGAACCATGGCAAGTGAGATTGTGGGTAAGGTGGGGAATGACCGTGGTGGGACGTGGGAACTGGAACTAGGAACTGGGGCCTGGGCAGAAGTCCATGAACACCTCCTCTGCATTGCTCTGCACATCTGCTCCAGCCTTCCACCCCCTGCACCCACTCTGTCTGTGCATTCAGACGGCTCTTAGGGTCGCCCCAAGTTTCTAAGGCATTCACCATAGTTCTAGAAATAGATAACCACTGATTTATCATAAAAATACGTTTATATTGGTTTTATTTGAAAGTCAGGGAGAGAGGCAGATCGTCTATCAACTAATTTGATCTCTAAGTACCAGCAACAGCCAGGGCTGGGCCAGGCCAGAGCCGAGAGCCTGGAACTCAACTTGGGTTTCCCACACTTGAGCGATTAGCACCGCCTCCCAGGACATGCTTTAGCAAGAAGCTGGATTGGAAACAGAGAAGTCGGGACATGAACCAGGCACTCCAGTGTGGGATGCAGTTGTCCCCAGAAGCAGTTTGACCCACTGCCCCAAACACCTGCCCAGGGACTGTGGCTTCAACCTCAATTTCAAGTGCCTGACTGGAAGGATGTGGTTGGCCTGTCCTGGGCTAGTTGTTTCTCTCTGGACCTGCCAGCTGGCTATGAGTGAGAGGAGTCAGTCCACACGGAATGACAGAGTTTGTGCACATGGGTGTGGACTGTAGGCTAGGAAGGTGCCCCCAGGTCTACACTTTGCAGGGTCAAGCCCAGTTCTTTAGTTTGATACATAAGGCCGTGCACACACTGCCTCCACTCTACCTCTCCAGCTCCTCTCCTGCCTTGTTTCCTGCTCTGTGATGGATGCCTTGTCCCCAGCATGGCCACAGGCCTCTGAGTACACCACCCACACTCTGCAGAGTTCTCCTCCCTCTCTCACCTGCCTTGCTTCTGCTCATGTTTCAAGAACCCACCCAGATGTCATGGTAGAACAGGGCGATTGTTTCATGGTACTGGAAACTCATCATCTCGGCTGTCATTGGCAATGTCCTGGTCTTCGCTGAGGGGCAGTCACGTGTGTATCATGAATACAAAACATGTGTGGTCAACTGCTACCGGAAATTCCATTTATCAGAAAGCTGTCTGGACTGGCATTTCTATACTGTGACTGTGCCATTGATACCAAGTGCCATCAGTTAAGAATAATGCTACATAGGCTCCCGTCCTGGCTGCCCCGCTTCCCATCCAGCTCTCTGCTGTGGCCTGGGAAAGCAGGAGAAGATGGCCCAAGTCCTTGGGCCCCTGCACCCTCATTGGAGACCCTGAAGAAGCTCCTGGCTTCAGATCGGCACAGCTCTCGCAGTTGTGACCACCTGGGGAGTGAACCAGCCGATGAAAGCCTGCCCCTCATTCCCCCTCCCTCCCTCCCCTCTGTGTAACTCTTTCAAATAAGTCTTTAAAAAAAATGCTAGGTTGTAGAGGGGGGAAGGGTAAGGGGGCATCCTTCTTGTCCAGGCTGCCAGTTGCCCCATGTTACTAGCTCAGCACACCACAGCTGAGCATAAGATGACATTTCCCAGCCTCCCTTGCAGCCAGCTGTGGCCATGTGACTAGGTCTGTGCCACAGATGTGGGTAGGAGATGGCTTGCACTGCATTTTCTCTCTTCCCCTTCCCCAGGCTAAAGCATGGAACGGTCATGACCCCACTTTGACCATGCAGCTGAGGACAACATCCTAGGAACCATGATGCAACAGGATGAGGAGGAAGCCACAGCCCAGCTGACCCCTCAGGGCTGCGCAGCACCGCCAGTCTGACCACTTGCTTCTGCTCTTTCTTGAGAAATAAATTCAGTGTATCTTTAAGTCTCTGTCTCTCTCTCACAAACACACAGGGCAGGGAAGCGCTAATGCTGTGGTGTAGCAGGCTAAGTTACACCTGCAGTGTCGGCATCCCATATGGGCACCAGTTTGAGTCCTGGCTGCTCTGCTCCCGATCCAGCTCCCTGCTAATGTGCCTGGGAAGCAGTGGAAGATGATCCAAGTCCTTGGTTCCCTGCACCCACATGGAAGACCTAGAAGAAGCTCCTGGCTCCTGGCTCTGGCCTAGCCCAGCCCTGGCCACTGGGGCAGTGAATCTGCAGATGGAAATCTCTGTCTCTCTCCCTCTTTCAAATACATAAAATATTTAAAAGGTGGTCGGGGGGGGATCATAGCAGCTCAGCTCTCCCTCGGGCGCAGCAGGCAGATATGAAAGCTCTTGTCATTTTTTTTATCTCCAGTCCTCCAGTGTAACACATTACAAATATGAATGTTCAATAAACTCCACTGATCGAATGGACGTTTGAATTGGTAAGATATAAGCCCATAAAAATCGAGTTGGGGCCGGCGCCACGGCTCACTAGGCTAATCCTCTGCCTTACAGCGCCGGCACACCGGGTTCTAGTTCCGGTTGGGGCGCCGGATTCTGTCCTGGTTGCCCCTCTTCCAGGCCAGCTCTCTGCTGTGGCCAGGGAGTGCAGTGGAGGATGGCCCAAGTGCTTGGGCCCTGCACCCCATGGGAGACCAGGATGAGCACCTGGCTCCTGGCTTCGGATCAGTGCGGTGCGCCGGCCACAGCGCACCGGCTGCGGCAGCCATTGGAGGGTGAACCAATGGCAAAGGAAGACCTTTCTCTCTGTTTCTCTCTCTCACTGTCCACTCTGCCTGTCAAAAAAAAAAAAAAAAAAAGTGCGAGTTGGAACAAATCCCAAGGGTGTAGGACGTCCTAATTAGGAATTTGGACTTTCCGTTGGCCACATGTAGGTTCCTCCCAAGGTTTGAAAGGAGGGAAAAAGAACCTTCTCTGCCTTGTGTTGGCTGCTGACACCTGCTGGCCTGTTCACGTACTGCAGCCCACGCGCTTTAGTGCCTCAGAGATCAAGGAAGTTGTTAACCACTGTGACACAGCAGGTGCTGAAGACAGTGAAGAGCAAGGATTTGGAACTGCTCCTAGCCAGATCACCGTGAGTTGCTGTGGGGGACAGCAAGCTTTAGGCGTGGTTCTGGGATGCGGAAGTTCAGGGTTTGGTGTGTTTCAGGTAGTTTCTGTCTTTTGATCTTGATGTGCTGTCAAATGCAAATACCTCTCCCATCCTTCCCCTCTTCCTTATCTCTGCATCAGCTTAAGATTTTCTCATCTCTGCCGCAGGCATTAGTCACCATGGTAACGGTAAGTTACTTGTGTCTACTTTGATTATTTAAAAAAAAAGGGGGGGTAACCACCACCCAAAAACAAGCAAACAGAACCTTCCAAACTATCCCAAAGAACTGATGGTGGCCGGCGCTGCGGCTCAATAGGCTAATCCTCCGCCTTGCGGCGCCGGCACACCGGGTTCTAGTCCCGGTCGGGGCGCCAGATTCTGTCCCCGTTGCCCCTCTTCCAGGCCAGCTCTCTGCTGTGGCCAGGGAGTGCAGTGGAGGATGGCCCAAGTCCTTGGGCCCTGTACCCCATGGGAGACCAGGATAAGTACCTGGCTCCTGGCTTCGGATCAGCGCGGTGCGCCGGCCGCAGCGGCCATTGGAGGGTGAACCAACGGCAAAGGAAGACCTTTCTCTCTGTCTCTCTCTCTCACTGTCCATTCTGCCTGTCAAAAAAAAAAAAAAAAAAAAAAACACTGATGGTGATGGCCCCCATCAGATGATGGGGTGGGGAGTGCTCTCGGGCCGGGCCGCTGGGGATAGGGGCACAGAGACAAGATGTTCTCTGCCCAAAAACTGGTCGGATTACTCCTAAGGCCCTGAGCAGCCCCTAATAGGGGTGTGGACCGTCTGGCCTGGGGGCCATAAAAGGCCTGTGGAATTCCTCAATCTAGCCCTGCCAACGCAAGCTGCAGGTAGGATTCAAAATTCAATCAACTATAACAAGCCAATTTTTAAGTTGTTCAGGTTTTTTGTTTGTTTGTTTGTTTTAAGATTCATTTATTTATTTGAAAGGCAAAGTTGGAGAGAAATCTTTCATCCACTGATTCACTCCCTGAATGGTTGCAATGGCCAGGACTTGGCATTCCAGGCAGTGGCCCAAACACTTGGGCATTGTAGGCAGTGGCTTAACCTGCTGTGCCACAGCACCAGCCCCATGGGAAATGAATTCTATGAAAAAACTACTCATGGGGCCAGTGCTGCGGTGCAGTGGGTTAAGCCCATTTGGGTGCTGGTTCCTGTCCCAGCTGTTCCGCTTCTGATCCAGCCCTCTGCTAATGCGCCTGGGAAATCAAAAGACGGCCCAAGTGCTTGGGCCCCTGCCACCTATGTGGGAGACCAGGGTGAAGCTATCAGCTCCTGGCTTCAGCCTGGCCCAGCACTGGCTATTGCAACCATTTAGAAGTGAACCAGTGGATGGAAGCAAGCACATGTGCTCATGCTCTCTTCCTCCCTCTCTTTCAAATGAAGAAACCTCTTTAAAAAATACATTTCTTCAGGCTGGCATGGTAGACCCTGGTGAAGCTCCTGGCTTTGGCCTGGCTCAACCTTGGCTGATTGTGGCCATCTGGGGAGTGAAGCAGTGGATGGAAGACTTTTCTCTGTCTCTCCCTCTGTGGCTTTTTAAATTTTTTAAAAATGAATTTCCTGTGAATTCTTTGAAGACTTCTCACATGCATGATATCAAAAAATTTTCGCAACAAAATAAGCCTATCTTTTAATTCTATTTTTCGTGTACTTTTGGAAGCACCATCCTGGGAGGAGAAGATGTGAGCAATCAAGGGGTGCTGGGGAAGGGCCCGTCCTGGAGGCTTGGCTGAGCCTCCGGGGAGAAGACTGACCCTGGACCATGTGGGTAGGTTCACCCACCTCCCATCGACTCTGCACCTGTCACTCAGCACTTGTCTGGCTCTATAAACGGCACAAGTCCTGTTCCTCGAGTTCATTTGCAAAAATACCTGGTGAACCTCCCTGGTAACTGGCCCCTGCCCCCTGCCCCTCGCTGGTCTAACTGGGCACCAGCATTCCTATAGCAGCTGCCAAGGCGTCCATAAGGCCAGTGGAGTGAATGGGTGCAATAAAGGCACTTGGCCCTGCCGGGAGCCAGAGGGTGACCTGCGCAGGCTCAGGGGCTGTGCGGAGCTGCTGCAGGGGGCTTCCTGCTGTGACTGAAGCTACAAGTAGTGGGCAGGTGGAGCCAGCAGCAGCCATAGGTCTCTGCCAACATGCTGAGCTGCGTTTTCACAGCCACACACCTGTGTGCACTACAAAGATCCCTGGCATTTTCTGGATGCTTGGTTCCAGCTGCTGGACAAGGAGGCAGAGCGGGGGCTGCTGTCACTTGTGCAGGAAGCCAGACTTCTGGATCTGGGCAGCAACAGAGGCTAGAATAAGACCCTCCAACCTGGAGTCAGGCTGCCTGGCCCAGCCCCACGCTGCTTTCCCAGTGGACAGATAGGCTCTGGAACCCCAGTGCAGCCTGGCGGGCAGCCCCTCACTGGCTCTGTGGATGCCACGACTGGGCCCATCCGTCACATCCTTCCCAGTTGCACACAGAAAGGCACAGCGCGGTGCGTGGTGCAGGGGACTGCGGCAGAACCAAGCACTTACATTTAGAGCAGCACAAAGGGCGCCCCTGTCCTCTGGAGCTAGTGTGTGTTTCCACCCTGAGGCCAGATGAACATGACCTGGGGTGGGCTAGGGAGAGGTCTGATGCCAGTCCAGGGATCCCTGAACCTCTCAAGGACTGACAGCAGTGAGGCAGCAGGGCTGTGGGTCTGCCTCTAAGTCTGGTTTTCACCTGGGTGAGTTGTGGTAGCTCCTGTCTCCCCTCACACTAACGGGCGCTCTGAAGTTTGGGCTGGTGTGGGAGAGAAAGACCCCAGTGAGCAGCTGCTGCTGTGGGGGGCGGGGGTGGAGCCCAGAACGTTCAAGGGCCTTGTTGTTGGGGAAAAGGAGTGCTGGAAGGGGGCTCTTCACTTAAGCACTACAGCTGAATATAAAACAGTGAGACGAGGGGTTGCTCCAGTGTCTATCACCCCAGCAATGTTCCTGTGCATCACAGAAGTTCATCCAAATGGCCCTGAAGAGGGGTGCATGACAGCGCATGGGGTGTACTGCAGAGGGGTTGGCCAGCAATGAGAGAGAAGGAAAGGTCCTATGAACAGAGCTGAAATCTACTGCCCAAGCAGGCGTTGGGCAGGTTCAGGAAAGCTGGGTGACCAGTCAGATGAGGACAGTGTGCAGAGTCAGTGTATTAGACAGCTTTTTGTTACTGTAATGAAATACCTGAGGCAGCCTAACTCCATAAAGAAAAGAGGTTTGGTTTTGGCTCATGGTTCTGGGGGTTCACAGTCTAAGATCGGCAACCCCATTGGTTTGCTCTTTGGTGAGGGTGTTCTTGCTGACAGAGTACCAAGACAACACAGCATCACATGGCAAGAGATAAGGAGTGCCTATGTGTTTATTCTATTTGGTCTCTTATAAGGCCATGGAGTTCCTCCCAAACCAATCCAAACCCCAGCTTTGTGCAACATCACTGGATTAAGTTTCCGCACTGTTCCATTAGCATCATACTCTGGTGTTGCAGTTGACTTCAACAATGTTGCAGTGGATTCATTTCTGAGAGGAGGAGCGTGGTGGGGGCAACAGGTGCGGAGTCACCACACAGACCCCAGGAGTCGGGTGAAAGCAGGCCAGAGGCAAGCATCCCGCAGACTCGTTTATTTCAGTTGGTACAGCAGCTTAAATAGCCAAGACCAGCCAATCTGGTCAAGGGGCGGTCTATGCCCCAACCAATCACAACCTGTTGCCAGGCAGGCTCTGTTGCCAGGTGGGTTTCAAAGCCATTCCTGAGTAACTGACTCTCGCTTGCCAGTGGCCAC